TCTTTGGCGATCCAGTCTTTCATAATTTTTTCGTAGTAGTCTAAATGAGACTTGCTTTTCCCAAACAAGCAAGGACATTCAAATCTTAATGTAGTTTGACAATGTTGTGGCAAACCTGATAAGTGAAGACAAAAAGTAATATTTATTATATACATATTCAAAAGATTAGCTAATATTTAAAAAGTAATCACCTGATAATTTTGTTAGTAAACGCAGATTTGGTGGAGGTACAATATTCAGTATTAACCTGGGCACAGTATCACGCAAGTAGCGATAAGCCTTTAACATATTACGTTCATGTTGCTTAATTACAACTTGTGGATTTGAATAATAACACATATCGGTACAAAAATCATTATTGCCTATCAATAGCGTAATCATTTTCCAATGATCGGTCATATTAACCAATGGATCCCTTTGCATTCTTTTGACTAGAATTTTTGCTTCATAAGGTATGTCACGTGACATCGCACCAAGTTCGGCAACATTGAATCTACAAATACCAATTGAAAAAAATTTAGTAAATATATATCAAATGATCAAAAAACAATAGAAATACTTTGAACTACGGTCTGTTGATAAGCCATCTCTAAGTGAGTAACCGTATAAATTTGGATTAAACTCTTTTAAGATATTTGGCAAAGTAAGATATTCCCGCCAAGTTCCCTGACCACCAATAGACCAGACCATGCCACGATTTTCTACTGTTACTTGTAGTAAATTTGTTCCATAAATGCCATTACCAGCTGTCAAGGAATCACCCATAGCACCTATAACATCAATATCGCCAGGTCGTAAACGATGCACCGATGTCGGTGCTGTATCACTGCGGCGTCCTGGCCCATTGGTATCACAAAACGAATCTAATGAACGTGTACGTTTGCTATATATTTTTTGTTCTTTCTTTTTTGAAATAAAAATAAAGAAAAATTAAATTTAAAAATAAATGCATAATCAATACAAATAGGACTCACCTCCAAACTGCGTATGCGCTGCCTATTTTGCGGATCTTCACTCGAACGTCCTATAATCTGTAATGCAAGCAAACGAAATGGTCTGTAAAGTTGTCCAAATGCATTATCTAAAGAAGTACGTTGGGCTGATATAGACGTAGTACTCAGTAGTAATACGCTGGTGAACAAGCATAGGATGGATATGTGCTTCAGGTCTTTGCTGATCATAATGTGTTTGTGTTTTGGGCTACGCTACGATTATATTGAAATTATAATAAAAATATTCTTGAATTATTAAACAATTTTACTAAGTTAAATACATATTTCCTTATTTTTATAATTTATTGTTAATAGTGGAAAACACGTTTTGGAAGAAATCAAATACTTTAATTATTTAACGCTTAAGTTTGATAAAAACATCATTAAGATAGAGTTTAGAGTTTACACTTGAGTTAGAACTAAATTAATTGTTTTAAAAGTTTATTAACCTTTTTTGTTGGCTTACTCAAATTATTAATAAAAACAAATTATTTAATTAAAATATTTAACACATATTTCCACCTTTTGAAAGAACATCTCTTTCCGTGATTCATTAATTTTTAAACAATTTTGCTAGCATTTTTTATATTACATATGTATCTTCTCACCCATTAATATTAGCATTAACACTTCTTATTAGATTTTATTTTATATTATAAATTATAAGTTATAAAAAACAACAAATAAACTTTTATTTTCTTTAATATTTTCAATATATTAATATTCTTGATTATAAACAATATTTTTAAATACGAAAAAGTTTACCAACAAATATATTTACGTAAAGATTTTCATTCATTTCAAATGTATGTTAATGTATTTGATTATTTATTATTTTTCACATTCAAAACATTATCATAAAAAAATTTATGATGTAACTAGTTTTTTCAAACTTCCTCAGAACATCGATTTTATAATACATAGGAGATTTTTATGAGATTTCCGCTGAATATTGTTAGACTCATTAAATCTGTCACGATTTACATTTACCCCAATTTTTTAAATTATGTTTTTCTGTAGTAAACTAAAAATGTAGAAACAAACTTTACAAGTTATTAGTCTTCACATTCAATAGAAGTCAGAATATTCAGCACACTTATTAGGTTGATTAGGTTGTTATGAAGACCCTACACACCAAAATTCACTTGAGAAGTAATAATGGTCTATTGCGAACCCACGAATGAACACCGGCATGACTCCTTTATTTATGTAAAAGTTAATCAACCTTTCAAATCGACCTGATTTATCAGATCAGTGAAAATGTTTGGTCCAAAGATATTAAATCTTCTACTGACTAAAGACCATCATTTATACATAGAACCCTACACACCAAAATTCACTTAACCAGTAATAATCGTCTATTGCGAACCCACGAATAAACACCGGCATGACTCCTTCATTTATGTAAAAGTTAATCAACCTTTCAAGTCGACCTGATTTATCAGATCAGTGAAAATGTTTGGTCCAAAGATATGAAATCTTCTACTGCCTAAGATCCATACATAGGATGAAACACAATTTCCTCCTTCTCTACAGAGCTGCAACCACAACTAAAGTTATTTTGGATAGACCTAGTCTCAATTTATGTCTCCCTAATGCACAGTGAGCTGTGAGCACCGATACTATAGTATTAGAACAGTCTTCAAAATTATCAATGCTTATTTAAAGGCGTAGATATTAAAAAATAGTCATAAAAAACTTTAACAAAAATCATTGGAAAATACATCAATCTTTCACATAATCATATGCAGCATCTAAAACAAAGTGTTTTATTAGCATCATAAATATAAGTACATATAAAAATAAATTAAGTAGAAATCGTAGAAGTACACCCAGTATGCAATTATGGTAGTTCTTTTTAGTACATTGAACATTTTTTTAGTAAAGTTATTATACATATAATCATTAGTTACTTATTATAAGATAAATTTCTAAAGCGATGTGAAATTTTGCAAAACTTTTAGGTGATTATTTGAACTTAAATAATTAACTAACTTTAATAATTTAATTAGTTTAAATAATTTCAAATTAAATTCTAAATAATTATATGTTTATATATACAGTTTTATTTTATTATAGACAAAACAAGACGAAAACTTTTCCTTGGTGCCAGTGAATATTTAATAGCGCTTATTTAATAGAACCCTTTTATTCGTACCGATTTTTGTTTCAGAAATGTTCAGTCTTCGATTTAGTTCCGAGTAAATATATTTAATGAATTCGGTGTTAGTTGTCCTTAAAGGTAAGGACATTAATTAATATTAATGAAATCAATAAAATATATGTTGTTATGTATTATATTTATGAACTGTTTTCGAACTTTAAAGTTTGATTCATTAAACTTTTAATAGCCAAAGAAATAAGTCCCTACCTAAACAAGAAGAAGAATAGTTTTAAGCTGATACATTTCTTTCGGTTCTATTCCGATTTTCGCTTTGGCCAAAACACATATTGGTTTTTTTTTGAATTTTCACTTAATGATGCAATCCTGACTCGAAGTCCTAACATAAAATCTTAATCGGGAAATGATTTTCAATAAACTAATGAAATAAGAAAATAATTATATTCTACTTAATTTAATTATAAAATTACAAATTAATATTTTTATTTAATGTAAAAAAACCTTTTATGTCATTTTAAATAAATTATTCAATTAATTATTTGTTAAATAAGTAACTAATTGATATGACTAAATACAACTATATACTATTTTTTAATGATAGTTTGGTATACTGTGAATTAGTACTGTTAATAGTGATACGAGTTCATTAATAATTATTACTATAGGTATATATTATTACACAACGGCTCAGATGGGCAATTGTGCTACTCCCAATTGTCTTATACTGAATTCACATGAGAGTTTTGTTTGTAATTTTAGCTGTCAATTATTGTTGCTTTCAATGCAAATTTAAAATTTCATACAGCTGTTTCAAGTATTACCAAATACCCGTCATCAGTGGTCGTCGAAATAATCATTGTATTTAATTATTCATAAATAATATTTTAAGCATGCAAGTACCAGGAATCGTGCTCATGCCCTGTCAAATTTAAAGCTCAGAGTCAACGTTGCTTAACCAACTGACCCAAAGCCGTACTTGACTTTTATTTTCGCACATTTTTCTAGAGTTTTCTTAATCTGCTGTGAAAGTTTCATTAACAAATTCACTTGCTGTGTTTATAACAGAACGAAATCATAACCCAGCTGTACAATAATTGAATTAATTATATTTTTATTTTTAATTGTTAAATGTTAATACTATTCTTTTGTAGATGCATTATTTATTGCATGAGTCACTTCTGTCATATTGGCATTACAATGAAATTTAATATAAAAAATATATATTTTAAAATATATTTGTGTTGCTGAACTTGTAAATTTCAGTGTCTAATACACTAAAATCAGTCCCTAAAAGTAAATGCATATCAATAATAAATAAGTTACTTTAGTCAGCGGCGAACTGCAAGATTTTCCCCTGAATAGCATTACAAGCTTTGCCAAAGGTTCTAAATGGTTCAAACTCTTGAGCTTTTAATTATACGGTAACACACACAGCCTAAGTAGATCCCTTGGAATCACCGGTATAAGCTACCTACCTAATTTATTTAGACCTTATATTGTTTTTAAAAGAGACTAGTTAAAGGACTCAGTACTAAGTACTGAAAAAAGCCAACCAACATTCGTATTGAATATTTCGTATTTAATATTTATATTATTGAAAACTGAAAAATAAAAGAACTAAAAATATATGAAATTTGGACCTTCCTTTTCGTTAGATGCTTTTATTAATAAAATATTAATAAATGTAATAAATGTTGAATGGTTAATAGTATTGGGGGTTTTGGGTTAGGCTAAGGCCCCTATGCAATGCAACCAGCTTGATCTATTCTGCACCTTTTTGTACTTAGAAAATATATATAATTAAATATGTAATAAATGTTAATAAAAATAATATAACATTTGAATATTTTAAATAAAATAACTTAATTACGAATGAATTTATAATAAAAACTCATATAAATTATTTTCATAGTTGCTACAATAGATAGTGGTTTTCGCAGTATCAAATGTTCTAATTACGTTAAAAAAATTGGTAAAAAAAAGTGTATTAAAACAAAAAAATTAATAATATTAAAAGTTCGTAAAGGCAGCAAAGTTTTACGACTTCATTCACACAATAAAAATTATTTAATATAACAAAAACGTTGACACAGCTGTAAACTTCAACAATAAACATAAAAACTTAAAATGATTAATTTAATTTTAATGATTGAGTACATCCCCTCTTTTTAACAACAAATGCAACTTTATAAATGTTTGAAATAAATTATTTATATTTTTATTTTTTCACTTAAAAGTTAGAGTAACGTTTGCTCCAGTTAATAGCCCCATTATAACCCGCATTAATAACCTGAGCTAACCCACATGTTATATATTTATATATTAGCTACACTTATTAGTTTCGACCTGCGTTACATCCTATATACTACCTTACTTTACATATAAACATGTATTTATGTATAATTATTATTATTATAAATATATAAAATAAATTTAAATAAAAATTATTATATGTGATTATAACTTTTTAGCAATAAAAAGTGCATATGGTATTAATAAAATAAAAATTTTAAAAATCAATATAAAATTCTATTGCTATAAATGCTTTATAAATTTATTTTTAGAAACCTTATTTTATTTTAATTTATTATTTTTTCATTTCAGTTTCGAAGTAGAATCACACCATTATTTGCTCCGAACACGCGCTTTCTTACTTATAGTTTTTTGCTTCAGATAATCTCATTAAGGACTTAACTTCAAAATTATGACAATGCAAGAAAAGTTATTAATAAAATCATATAAATTTATAGACATCTCAATCAGTTTAAGTTTTAATAAAAAAAATTAAAAACGATATCATATGAGTTTTAAAAATGTATTATAATAAAAATAATTAGGTAATAACTGTAAAAATTTTATTGGTTTAAAGTTAGAAAAAAATACCATTACATATATTTACATATATACATATTATATATAAATATGTTTTGGCTTACATTTTATGTAATATCTTAAAACATCATTTATCGAAATTAAATTCATGTCAGGATGACAAGAAAAATATATATTAAAGCTCATTCTTAAGGCATATGGAATACGAGTATTTCACTTTCAATAAAAAAAATGTATGTACTTCTGTAAACATTTAAGTTGTAATTGCCATTTTCATATTTTCGAAAATATAAATATGTGATTGTACATAAATACATATAAAATATACTCAATTATATATATAAAAAGTACTAATATAAAAAGATTAACAAAGTACTTCAAATTATAACTAGTTATAAATAATAGTTAAAAAGTTTAGACAATATTGTAGATTAAAGTTTAATTTATAATTAATAGTACAATATTTATAATAGTAAATAATTATAATTATTATACATAAAATATACTTTAAAACATAATTCTAATAATAAACGTGGAAGTATAATAATTAAGCGGAATAGACTAGTTAGAACGTCTATAGGCGTAACGGAAATATGAAACCTATAAAAAACTTTATAGGTTGTAAAATTAAATAGTAATATTAATGTTTAAACGTAATAAAAAAAAATATAAAACTATAAAAAAAAACTATAAACAAAGTAATTTCAATATTGTGCTCAAAAACGTCAGTGCTTGTCACAAAATGATTTATCCCCGAATAATTATATAAGTCTTTATATACATTATATACTATATATTACAAATGTTATTTTCATGATACTATGATATTATAATGATATTATAAAAATAGTGTTTTAACAACAAACTTTCAACACTGCAGTTTAGTTTAAAATGTATACTATCACTTAATTTCTGTCATTTTATTTTTAATAATATATATATGTTATATCTAGATAAAGTCACTTTTATGGCGCAAATATTATTTGCTAACTTTGTATATTTGTTTTTTTTTTTGCAAGTCCAAAACTCGTTCTGGTTTATCACATTCTCGAGTTTAAACGACAAATATTTATATTGTTTAATTACGAATAGTATGTGAAACATTTAAATATTTAATATTTATATTTATAATTTATTCTTGACAATTTACGTATATTTATGCATTTTCTTTTTTTATTTGCAATAAATAATATTAAACCAGAAATTTCGCAACAAATTATTTTAATTTTTGAAAACTATAAAAATAAACTTATTTTTAAAATTATATATTAAAAATATATTTTAATACATAAATATTTGAAAAATATTTAAATTATAATAATGTAATAAGTAATGTATTATATAAAAAAATATTTCTATTTCTACTTTTTTATACATTGCAATAATATATTAAAATGTTAGAAATATTTAATTAAATATTAAACATTAAATTTATATATATATACTTTTTATATATATTACTATTTAAAAAAGTGTTAATTAAATAAATTATTAAGTAAGATTTAATAGTATAATTCATAAAAATTTATAAAAGACTCATAACACTGTTTATTAAAAATGTTATTCATAAGAGTTGTATAACAGTACTTTAACATTATAGGAGTATAATATTCAAAATCATAATAGTAAAATCTATTTTAAAACAAATAGAGTTTATTCGTAGAGACCAATGTATAGTATATGACAAATTTAATTAGAACAAAAAGGCAGCTTTGAAATGACCACATTTCAAAAATATTAAAATTTAAAACTAATCGAAATTTAATTTTAGCGAGAGGTTTAAAACCTAGCATAAGACATGTACTGGAAAGGCCACCCAAACAAAGAAAAGAAAGCTCGATGTTAGCTCCGACAAAATTTGATGTGTACTTTTATTGTACACCAACCTCTATAGAATATAAAAGGTTTAATCATGCCGAGACTACTACTTTAAGGAATGAGCAGAGCTGGGCACATTTATGCTAAGAAAACTTCGTAGGTTTTTATTAAAAACTAGATAGTTTCGCTAGAGAATGCTGAGAAAGCAAGAAAAAAAATATTTCCAATGATATCATGACGAGCCCTTGGCCTATATGAGTCCCAATATCTTTTGAAACAGTTGCTTCACAAAAAATATTTTTTCTTATATATTTTACTTATAAATTCAATATATTATATATTAATGAAAATATTATTAAGTAATATTTAAACTGCATAAAAACAAACGAATATGTCGTTTATAACAAAAAGCTAAGGGAAAGAAAAGATTGGCAAAAGGTAAACCTGGACACTCAATTATAGGGAATCAATCATATACATTAAGACCGAAAAGTTTTCGGAAATTCTCATTTAAAATTCGCGCGCTGTATATTTTTCGATATTTTAAGTTTATGTAGTTTGGCAGCACTGTCCTTAATTACTATGCCAAAAATGAGCGCGATCTGTCAGACAGTTCGTTTACGGCAGCTGTTGAAACCAGTTCACCTCAGTAGGGCGTTGCGAAAAAAACAATGGAAAAAAATATTGAACAAAGAGTTTGCATCAAATTTTGTGTTTCGAACGAAATTTCGTGTGCAGAATCGTTGCGAATGCTACAAAAGGCTTATGGGGAATCAGTTTTATCGAAAACTCAAGTTTATGAGTGGTACAAAGCCTTCCAGGACGGTCGTACGACCGTCGAAGACATTTCGCAACGCACTACTGAGGTGAACTGGTTTCAACAGCTGCCGTAAACGAACTGTCTGACAGATCGAGCTCATTTTTGGCATAGTAATTAAGGACAGTGCTGCCAAACTACATAAACTTAAAATATCGAAAAATATACAGCGCGCGAATTTTAAATGAGAATTTCCGAAAACTTTTCAGTCTTAATGTACATTAGTATAGTATTGACGAAAATAAAGCCTTGACTCTTATGTGCGATCCGACTTGATAAAACATATATAAAATTAAAAAAAAAATTAATTTTATGACAATATTAAAAATTTTTTAAGTTAGTTAATATTACTAATTAAACAATTATTTGGAGTTATGAATTCATATGCCTTATATTAATATGAAATGATTTTTTATAATTGAAATTACTATAAACATATGTAATTTAAATTTTTTTTTATTTTAAGCCTGCTAGTGGTATGAAATGGAATTTTACCAAATATCGAAAGAACACATTTTAGAAATTGTCATTCAATCAAGTGTAAAATAAACTACATTCAAGCATAAAAATTTGGGCTTGTCATAGGTTGGTTACCGTTTTCATCGATTATTGAGTCCATACAAGAATTAATCAGATATGGAACTCTCAAATAATTCCGAAATCACGGAGCATTTGAAATCAAATTATTATAGTGATTTTTACTAGTACTGTTCTTTACTAATCATAGCCGTAATCCCTATGTGGAGATTGAGAATCGGTATTTTTAAAGCTTAAAGTAAAAAAAAATATTTTTTTTATGCAGAGTCACGATGAAATTTTTAGCACTTTTAAGTTATTCTAACTCTTAAAATTAAAATTAATGAATCACTGTGGATATAACAAATATTTAATAGAAAAGAAATTGGAAAACCTTTCAAAATTTTTGTATTTTTACACAACACAATTGTTGATTTAACTTATATAACTTAAACACAGTCCGTTGATCAAAATGATTTTAAAAATATATATTTAACAAAAAAAACAATTTTTAATTTAATTTAATCTTTCACACAACACCTCAATGAATATATTAAAAAATTATTAACACTACTTAACACTACTTTTATTAAAAACATTTTAAATTATTTTTAGTCACTTGTGAAAATAAATAAATTTAACAATTGCTAAAAATCTTACTTTTGATTTTTTTTTATTTTATATTTAATTTAGTTTAAGTAATTAGATCTATTGCAGAAAATTTCCTTTGCAAAATTAAAATTAAAATTAAAATCAATTACGTTGAACCGTTCTGTTGTTGTTCTCTCGGCACGCAATTCTCGACTGTAATAAAAAATTCTTATGATTATTTTATATCAAAACTCGACTTATAATTCAAAAGCTCAATAATAGTCTACCAAGCGAAAAAAAAATACAAAACAATAAGAACAACAACAGTGATCCGATAGCGACCGCAAGTAGCTGATCAACGCAAAATCATTCTATGAAATCACAACTAATTCTAAAGCGAATAGACCTTTGCAACCGGTGACGCTGCGATCGGAATCCGAGCATCATACGGAATTCACTTTCACAGCACTCCAACAGCACTCCAACAGCAAGTGTCAGCAACCGATGACGACAACAAGAACGAAAACGACAGCGTTCTTAACATTATCAAATGAATCAATTGGATTGGTTCGCAGGCGTCGGTGTTATATCAAAAGTTAAGCCAAACGAGTAATTGTGCGTTGATAAGCTCAACTCCAGACAAACCGCTTAAGCGAGCGTATCGTGTATCATCTTCGTTGGCGTTGTCTCCGAATCTGATATCAGCCCAGCAACATCTCATGAATTTTAAATTCTTTCTCACTTTTTTATTATGTAGATTTTTTTCGTGTTTATTTTTGCGGAGTTTCCTATCGAAGCACTTAAGGCATATTAAGCTGTCGAGGAATGCTTCAGCTACGGAATAATAAGTACTAACTTATGTCTTGGCTGTAGCAGGTACGTTAAGTTTGTGCATTAATTTGGAATGCCTCAGTGCTGCCGTGGTATTTATAGATATCTATTTTAAGATATCAAAATAGCTATCCACACATCTTGGTATTTTAACCATATATGACGATATCATAAATAGAATAAAATAAAAGTGAATATAAAAAGTAGCTACTGACTCCTTCTTAATCTCTGCGCCTACATATAAGGATATATAGGTATATGTTTACGTCACATTTTGTCGGTCCTGCATAACGAGTTCGCAATGTCAAGCTGTGAGTACGAAGTAGATTTAGTAAGCATTCCAAAGAACTTTAACAACTTCAGTACTTATTGAACTATTATAAACAGAATATCTAATTTATGAACGTATTAGTGTATCTTAAAAACTGCTATGACTGGCAAAATATCAGCCTAATGACATTTTTTGATTAAACTGATAAAAAGCCTAATATATTTATAATATTATTGTTCTAATAAAAGTTTTGATTACTCACAATAAATTGTAATAAAAAATGTTAAATTTTATACCAGCAAATAAATAAAGAAATAATGTCACTTAAATGAGATCAGTCTTAAAATAAGATTTATTTTTAATTTATTTCATGTAACATACAATACTTTATAAACAGAGGTGTTTATAGTCGGTTATGTATTTGATATTACATGCCTACCTTAAATATTCGGTAATGTAAATTCTTCAAAGTTAATATTTTGCACGTCCTGTATGGATGTAGAATGCAGAATGTATGAATAAAATGAATAAAAAGTTTGTTCTATAGTTGGAACATTTTTAACAAAAGATTTAGAATAATTAACCAAGTTCATGAAGCTGATTCTGTATCTCATGATATAGCATATTAATGGTACATGACATTAGCATGTACTATGACAATGGTACATGACACTTGCGAAGACAACTGACATGATTTTAAGGACCGTTAAAAGGATATTAAAAATTATTAAACAATTAATTCGAACCGGAATCCCTGGTCCAGATCCATTAATACTGTGCTTGGAATCAACAAAGTCATGTAAAAATTTTTATTGGTATTGAAAAAATTGAAAATGACGTGTCAAACAGATCACTTTATTGCATTTTGACCCAATACTTAAACATACTGCAGTTTGAAAATGGATTATGTACAAAGTGGGTTCCTTTGCGAAATCATGACACTTGCGAAGACAACTGACATGATGTCAAGAGCCGTGAAAATGATGTTAAACACTAATAAACAATTAATTCCAACTGGAATCTCTAATCCGATCTATCAACACTGTACATAGATTCATCAAAGATACTCGTATGTAAAAGTCTTTATTGTAATATAAAAAATTGATAATGACATGTCAAACAGACTGATGCATAAAAATGGGTTATATATAAATGGGTATATACAAAATGATTTCCAAAGAAAATATAACTACTTAAAAGTGATTAATACTTTTGAGACTTATTTTGTCAATTGCATCAATCGAGCTAGCCAACCAATACACGTATATATCTGGCACTGTATGACTTGCGATTTTTCAACAAAATGCATTTACTTTAAGAGATATACCAATTTTTGGACATAATTGAAATCTGAAATAGTTGTTATACCGAATTGTTATACCGAAATAGTTATACCGAAATAGTTTGACCAAAATGGTTATACCGAAATAGTTGTTCCGAAATGGTTACACCGAAATGCTTGTAGCGACTATTGGTACCAAAATGGTTGTATCCTAAAAAACATGCTGGCCGACATTTTAAATCGCTTAGACCGTATTCACTGTGTCCCTGTATTAAATTTTTTGAATAAATTTTTTAAGTTTTACAAAAAAAGTTCCATTCTATTATGTATCAATAGTCCTGCGTACTTTGAAAAGCTTCTTCTGAAACTACAGTATATAATCGTATTCTTTTTGTAGTATTAGTAGACCATCAAAATTTTGATCATTTTAAGATGATTTTAATTAAAACAAATAAATTACAATGGACATATCAGATATACTATAGCTATTTCTCTTTAAGGTAATTGTATACTTCAAACCAAATAGAAGTGTTATTATCAAGATATATTTAATATATATCTAAATGAAGTTTATTTCTTAGGTTAAATATCAATTCAAAATTCAATATCTATAGAATTATATTATATATATTATTAACAATTATTTAATATAACTACCTTATGATCAGACAAATTTTAATTAAAATCTATATCATTCAATTTATATATTTTATTTATTTATTTGTCGTAAATGTAATAACTATTAAATTACTAAAATTTTATATAAAAAGTTCTTTAAAATGCAAACCTAGACAATAATAATTAATATGAATTTTAATTGCTCTTCTAATACTTAATTTTATTTCACTCTCTCTCTCTCTTATCCTCATCTATCAGTGGAGCATAGAGCTGGTGTTGGTTTCATTCATCATGATTCTCGTATATGGACTTAGCACCTCCAAAATCCTTTTGCCTGTTGCCGAAACAGGCGGATTTATACTATGATACTATGATTCCCCTTTGTGTAAGATTTTCGTTATTATCAAGGTTTTGTGATCCGATGGGTGATGGGCCCAAGGAATTCACTGATGACTAACCAATGCGAATGCAAACCAAATTTTAAATTTATCTGAAAAAATAATTATCTGATAACCAACTGTTTTGAAATATAGATTTTAGTATTAACAGTATGAGCATTTTACTATATATGATTTATATTGATCATTTATTTCTATGTATTTAAATCTAGAATACTGAAATATAATTTCAGATAATTTTAATTATATATTTTTATTATTATTAAAAAAATCGAAAATTGTTTCAACGTTTTATTATATTTAATTTTTTAAATATATTTGTTTTTTTAGTGTTTCATTTTTTAATTTGAAAAAAAATTAAAATAAATAAATCATTTTAATCTTAAACAAAATTGAAACCGTTTATTTATTTATACAAATCTGCCAGTACACATCGTAGACTATCTTTGGTGTTATTAATTCTAAAAAATAATAAAAGTCAAATATATAAAAAGTCAACAAATAAGTACAATAATTTATAAATTTGAAATGAATTATTAGCATTTGTTTGATAATTACTTTTGGTCCAGTCACCCAAAAATTTGTGATAAACTCAGAGGAATTATTAGAGGTCCCCATTATATAAACTCTCTCAATTGTATAATTGACTACCTGGGGCACTAAATTTAAGCAGTGTTATAAATTAATGGTTTCAGTTTTATTTAAAACAAAAATTAAAATTATTATTTTATTCATTTTAATAATATTTAAAAATCAAAAAAACGATCAAAGTTCCACAAAAAAATAAAATATATAAACAATTGAATTAGGTGTCAATATTTAAAACAAATTTATGTATAATAAAGAAAAATTTATAAAAATATAAATTAAAATGAAATACATGAAAATTAAAAAATTTGCTTTAATATTTTTTTATTTTTATATAATTTAATTTAAATATTATTTATTCCTACAACATAAATGTGTTTAAAAATGTATATACTTGCCATTTCACAACTTGCAAAAGTCCAAAAAACAAACAATTGAAGATATTTCTTGTAAAAATATATTAGTTTATATTTTATTAAGTTTATTTCATTTTTATCTCAAATATTTTATTTATTCCTAGAACATAAATGTATCTAAGAATTTATTTACTTGCCATTTTACAACCTGCAAAATTCCAAAAACAAAAATTTGAAGACGTTCCTTATTAGTTGTGTCATTTAATGCTCAAAATAAATTTAAATAATAAAATTTGTTGATTCTGGAGAGAAAATGTAAACGTAATAAAAAAACTTCAGAGTAATAATTAAATAAGACAACAAATTTCGCACATGTTCTTCTATTTAATCTATGAATATGCGTATTTTTATTTATTTCCTATTTATTAAGAAAAGCAAAAATTCTTTAGCAATATGGCACTAATTTACTTATAATTTAAATATTATAAAATTTAAAAAAAAAATAATAAAATGCAATTGAAGTTGTTTCCAAATAAAAAATATTATAAATCAAATTTATTATTGCTTAATTATTTATGCGATTTCTTTATTAGATTAGTCATATGCCGGCACTCAAAAAGCTACTAATGCTGCACTTTGTACCAAATTCTATTTATTTTAAGAAAAAATTAAATTTTTTATAGTTTCATTAGAAGAATATAAATTTTTATTTTTTTTAAAACAGATAATAATTATAATTTAAGACATTAGAGAAAATTTATTTAAAGTTTTTTATCAACAAATGAACTTTAACTGCAATTAAATGATTTGTCCGTAATAACCTTTTTGTATAATATTATTTTAATTTAAATATTTATTACTTGTATTATACTAAAATTCTTTAATTAATTATAATACAATGAAACTTAAAATTAGTGACCGTTTATAAAATAAATAGAAGAAAACAGCAAATTAACAAAAACTTACAATCGAAGATATAGAGTAGAACTGTTAATAATTAAGATTTTTATTGCAAATTATTTAAATTTGTATCAAAAGTTTTATTTTAAAATGTATATTCTTTAATTTAAGCAATATTTATAATAAAGATTTATATAAATGCAATAAAAAAATTAAAATCCATTAAATATCCATTATCATGTACAGTAATTTATTGTGTAAATTTCTATGTTATACGAGTAAATAAATTTTTTTTAATATTTTAAAGTAACATAATTTTAAAAATAATATAATTTATTAAATATAAAAAAAATCCTAGAACTCGAAAATGATAATAATACGAATGATCTCATCTTATGCACATATATTTTCTTTATTTGACTAGCGCCTTGT